GTAAAGTGTTAATTAATTTTATATTTTTGTTTTTCCTGGAAACTGAAGCAGTAGATCCTCTTGAATTACATCATGTTCAGGTAAAGAAGAAAGTTCTGTCCAGGCACAAGATAGTACAAACGACAACGCAGATGCGGGCGAATCAAATAGTCCGGACAACTACACGAATCAAGAAAATACTAATAACTTGACTACCAACGGTACAAACGATCAAGACATGCAAAGGTCTGATTTAGATACCTCGACTGCCACTGCCTCGGTTGAAAACTCCCCGTCTCCAAACATTACAGAAATCGAGAAACTGTGGCATTATCGTGACCCTGACGGCAAAATTCGTGGACCATTTTCCATGCTGCAGCTGCGTGAGTGCAGCACGACTGGACTATACGCACCCGATATGAGAATATGGACATATGACGAACAATATGACTCGGTATTTCTCACAGATGCCTTGAGTGGAAGATTTAATGGAGCATCTGATTCATCGAATTCGGTCTCACAGTGGGAGGAGAGGGGCAGTGGGGAAATCAAGGTAATAATTGAAGGTGCAAATGTGAGTGGTGAAGAAAGTGAAAAGGTTGACACTCCTAGTAACGATGCGAGTGTTTCATCCAAAAATGATGCTGGAGCTTTGGAGGTGGATAATTTCAGTTCTTCTCCACGCTGTTGGGATTTCCTTACGGATAATAGTAATCATACCGATAATTCGGATGTTAATAGTGATGTCCAAACACATAGGTTGCTTCCTCCACCGAGACTTGAGGAAAAACATGAATTACTAATGACTTGTGGCCAAGAGTGTGAAAATTTTCCCCACGCTGAACCAGAACATGGAGAAATTGAAAAAAGTTCAACCGGGCTCCTTCAGAACCCGATCGCCAGTGGACGTGAAGTTCAGAATGTAGATAATAATTTGAAATCTTTAAATATTGATCTGAGCTCAAATTATACGGGACTGGCAAAATTGCCCGTTTCAGATAAACAGGTTCAAACCGTTGGATTCCTCGAGCTACTGAGTTCTGCGCCGAGGCCTGACCACTTGACAGACACCAAGAATCCCGACTTTGCAAATTTTCCCGTCCAAATCTCGGAAATGGTGAACGAGCTGTGTAAATTCCCGTTTGCATTCTCGTTGAAGCCTCCGGAAACTACATGCCAGGAACACGCTGTCGCCACCTCAGCAGCCCCCTCCAACCCCCCACCACCGAACATGGCCAGCTGGCTAGCAAGCGCAAACGAGCCCATCGAGTTTGATGCTCTGGGTGAGGAGTCGGTTTCGGATCTGCTGGCGGAGGTCGATGCCATGGAATCTCGGGGGGATCCGCACTCTCCTTCAGCCGCCAGTAAATTCGCCCGCGAGTTCCTCGAGGACTGTAAGGACGAATGCTTCGGTTCGATCGAGGAGTTGGGCGTGAAAAACGACGCCTTGATGAGGCAGGAGAGGGAGACGAATGCGCCAGGTGGCGTGGGTTCAGGCCCACCGGACATCTGTGTGGGCCCAGGTTTGGGCTTGGGCTGGGACGGGCCGAGGAAGTATGGGTTGCGGGCCCAGTGGGGGAGGTCAATGGCGAAAGGGCAGAGGGTGTGTAAATTCTATGAGAGTGGTCATTGCAGGAAGGGGGCATTTTGCGATTACCTGCACCCGTGACTGGGATTTGGTGGCGTGTCGGATATGGGTTCGATTGCAGGTGAATATTTTTGGTATTTTTATTATTATTTGAGTTTTGATGAGTCCTTTGAATGGATATTAATTTGTAGGGTGATGTTAGTTTTTGACTGGAAATAATAATATAGGGTAATATTGTTTGTTTTGAGCATATATATATTCTTGGATACTGATTATTTGTATAGGTTCCAGTGACGATGGGCTCTTCTGTCTCGACCCCACCTTTTCGGCCTTTGGGTCAGTTGGGAATGCTATTGTGGCTTCCGGTCTCTCTCTCTCTCTCTCTTTCCCCAGGTCAGAAGCTTTTTGGGGGCTCAGATTTGGGCTCGAGTTTAATTTGTCTCCTCTCCGTATGTATTTGTTTAGTTGTTTTGAATTTTGTACGGAGTATTTAGAACTGGGGGTTCAAAATTTGTGGTCCTCATTTCGTTTTTTGATTCTGGGAATGGTCTGTGTTTTAGGTTGTGTTGTGTGGCAGTAGCGGAAGGCGAGAAGCAGAGGAGGTACTATTATTATTATATCTTTATAGCAGAGCAGATGTGTTTTGTTTTTAGTGTTCTGTTGTGGTAGTTTTTAGTTGTGTCTGGTTTATAATTATTTTTTCTAAAGAGTGTTTTGTCCACTTTTGTTGTTAGTTTTTTTGTGGCTTTANACCAATTTGTCTTTTTTTTTTCCAGAAAACAAATATAATTAAACCTCAAAATATACATTTAGGAATTGGATATGTTTTCATTTGTTTGTTTATATCTTATATTTATCTACCCACACTTATAAATGAATCATTGTTTTACTGCTTTTTGTTACATCACATTTAATTATTATTCGTTCTCACACTATTATTGTAAAATTATTAACTCTTCAACTAATTTTCTTTCACCAATTTATTTATTTTTTTCTCAATGACAAATTCCTCGATTGATACATTTTTCAGCTCACTTCCCACCCATCAATTGAAAAAATAATATTCATCATCATCTTTAGTTTTCTCATATTTTTTAATACAAATTTTGAATTGAAGGTTCAATATTATTAGTTTATTACACATTTATCTATAAAATTTACTATTAATCAACTTGCATATTTATAATTGTTAGCCATTATTTGATTATTCTTATATCGGATCATAATCAATTATTGTTATTTATATTATATCATTTTACATTAAAAAATTATTAATTAACCTACGAACTTTTTCTCTAATAAAAAAATAATAATCACTCAAATAAAAGTATATCAATCGCACGCTAGTGGGAGCTTTTTATTTCACACTTTAGTTTGCAACGAACTTCCATCAAGTCTCTATATTCACCAACGTACTTACATTAATTTGAGTTGCTTTTAATTAAGATATAAGCTATTTTGTACCTCTCACCAAATACACTTAATTTAGCCATTTTTTAGCCATGTGGACATGTCACTATGTCGGACTTGATTTTAGGTACACATATTTTTTGAAAAGGGAAAATAAAACGTGCGACTGGATTTTATTAGTGTCCTAACTTCAATAATTCTCATGCACCAAATTAAGTTTATCTGATTTGTTGTTCCTCCGATCTCTGTTCTTTCAGGTTTTGCAGTTTCTTTTGATATGTCCTTCTTCACTGCAGTGATAACACTTAAATTTTCTTCTGCGTTGAGATTGTGATTTATCTTCGGATTTGTTATTCCAGCCTCTGTTTTTACTTCTCCCACTGGTTTCTGTGACCATGGCTTGAGAGCTGCTTGTCCCAGAGTCTTTTCTTCTTATTTCGTCATTAAACATACTGTCCTTGACTTGTGTCAAAGTCAGTTTTTTTTCAAGAGCAGAGTTGTTCAACGAGACCACCAGAGTCTCCCAGCTATCCGGTAAAGAACTCAAAAGTAACAGCGCCTGCAGTTCTTCATCAAGTTTAATTTCCATGGTAACAAGTTGGTTTAACATGTCTTGAAACTCATTCAAGTGTTTTGCAACTGATCTTTCATCCCGATATTTTAAATTTACAAGCTTTCTAATGACGAAAACTTTATTCTGTGTCGTCTTCCTCTGATACATTTGTTCAATTTTGTTCCACAGAGTATGGGCTTTCGACTCTGTGGCAACATGGTGGAATACGCTGATATCCACCCACTGTCTGATTAAACTGACAGCCTTCCTGTGTAATTTTTTCCAATCGTCATCCTTCACGTCATCTGGTTTGTTGTCTCATTTTTCTACAGGATCATACAGATCTTTGTAGAAATGTATGTCCTCCATTTTTTGCTTCCAAATTAAGTGATTTGTTGTTGTCAGCTTCACCATGGTACCCACGTTCTCTTCTATTTAATTTACACTGGTTGATACATAGCCCAACTTGAGCTTTGATACCACTTGTTGGGCTCAGATGCACAAATGCGGAAGGTGTAAATTAAAACACCGAAGTAAAATGGTGAACAATAATCTCAATCTCAGCAACTTAAGAATGACAAAAGAAATCTCTTGCAATAAAACGAGAATAATTCTTTTCTGATGTGGAAGATTAAATTAAACTACGACCATAGAGCATATTAAGAATATCCCAAATAAATAAAATATGCAAGAAAGAAGACACCAAGATTTAACGTGGAAAAACTTTCAATGTAGAGGAAAAAACCATTGAACAACCTCCGAACAATTCCACTATACTTTTCAATATAATTATAATATCTTTTTACACTTCCCTAAAATATAGTGACCAAATGAGACCTCACTCCTATTCAAATATTACAAATAATGAGTAATAGAGATGATACCTAACCCGATATATTTTTTTCACACTCACAAGATTTACTCAAACACTCTATTTTTCTCTCACATAGATATTCTCACACATAAACTTTTTTGTTCCTTATTTTTCTCTTACTTTGGTGTATCTTTCTCTCCTGAATACCCCTCTATTTATAGATGGAGAGTGCAATGTGAATTGCACTCCACATTCAACGAAATGAGGCAGCGTCAGATTTTTTTTATTTTTATTTTTTTATTTTTTTTTTTTTTATTTTTCAAATAATGGTGAGCTACTTTAGCCACCAAATATGACTCAATATTTTTTCTTTGCTGGACCCTACACCCTAATATATAATGTCGATATAATATTTATAGTCTATGCTATTAGATCTTGTTAACTTGAGTAAAGCGAGGGATGAACAAGATTCTTACTCATTTCGTCAATTTATTTTTATGTCTGTAGCTCTATATAGAAGTCTATAGGATACTATTAGGAAAATACTCCCCCCTCCATGTACTCACTCCCTCGCCTACTCTCAATGCAAAAGATGTGTTAATTTTAAGCATATAATTAATAAAGTAAAAATATAGATAATAATATAAATATTTTAAAAAATTCATGAGTGAACCTAAATTACTATCTTTATTTAACTCCCCACATCTGACCCACCAAAAAAATTTAAAAAAAATATTAAAATAAAAAAAGATGTAAAAAGACAGAAATAAAAACAAAAAATAAATCTCAACGTTGTGTTTTTAGAAAATTCATGAGTGAACCTAAATTATTATCCCCGATATTTATATTATTATCTTTATTTTTGCTTTATTAATTATATACTTAAAATTAACACATCTTTTGTACTGGGAGTAGGCGAGGGAGTGAGTACATGACGGGGGAAGGAGCATTTTCCAGAAAGAATATTCTTTGTTTATAATCACCTCCTTAATTCAGTGCATGCATGCATAAATTTGACTTCTAAATACACGGTACATAATAAAAGGCATTATCATTTTTAGAAAAAAAAAGGAAGAGATTTTGAATGAGAAGCAACTGGTCTGGCTTGTTTGTGTAAATCGGGCCAGAGCATTTCAAAATATGTACAATGTCTATTGGTGTTTATTGCCCTTATTTTCGTGTCGTATAGTGGGGATTATCAAATTAACATTGCAACTGGGTTTGTTCTTGATTATCCTTTGCTAGCTACTTTTATTATCATGGTAAAATGAACTTAAAGTTCCTTGACTCGTTTTTGCACGCTTAGAGCGCATGTCGAGACATTGCAGATGCTAAAATCGCCCGAAGAGCGTAGCAGAAGAATTTCCGAAACCCCAGAGTTGCACTTTGATCCAAAAATGAATCCGAATTATGAATCGGATAAAGAAGATACCAAAAGTGCCGATGTTAGTAAAGCAGGTAACTCTTATCTTTTGGCTCTTTTTACAGTCTTGAAAATGTTTCCTATCAGTTACTCGATTAACAGATTGTTTTCTATCTACACAGCTCGGTTCTTCCTCAAAATGGAAGGAAGAAGCCCATTTCTTCTAATAAAAAATGTCATTTTTTATTCTTAACACAAATTGAATCTTGTAGATCTTTCACTTTTTTCTTCTTTTTATATCTCAGTTTTAATGGAAATTTGACCACATGAACTTATTGAATATTGTTTCCTTCAGATAAAGAAGAAAGGACAGTCTGTACACGAAATAGAGCGAGAAAGAAAATCAAATCCTTGCAAAGTTCTGTATTAGAGACCTCACCAACACATCCCTCAGTGGAAAACTCTCAACCGAAAAGTATAATCGAGACTGAGAATCTCTGGCACCATCGAGATCCCAACAGTAAGATTCAGGGCCCGTTTTCGATGATTCAGCTGAGAAAATGGAGCATGACCGGACTTTTCCCAGCTGACATGAGAATATGGACGAATCATGAACAGTATAATTCGCTGCTTCTCACGGATTACCTGGCCGGAAAATTCCATTTAGCTTCAGACACGTCAAATTCTTCAGGCATACAGAACGAGGAAGAAGAAGTGCCTACAGATGAAATTAGGGTTCTAAGCGAGATTACAAGTGTCAATAACGGACACAGTAATCGAGCGAGTGAAAGTGAAAACGGCAAAAAGAGCGAAACCGGGCCCATCATGGATGTACTAAGCCCAAACCTGCCGAAGCCAGCCGAAATTGAGCCCGCACTGCCTGTGGAAATTCAAATCCCAATCCACAGCCTCGAAATTCTCGAGCTGCTCGGTCGCACACCGAGACCCAATAATGAGAATCATGAGTTCATGAACTTCCCGGGCCCAAACCCGGCCCAAACGTGGAGCAGCGGCCCATCCAAGATGAGCGAGACGATCGAGTTCGATTCCCTCGGCGAGGAGTACGTTTCGGATCTGCTCGCTGAGGTAGACGCCATGGAGTCGAAACAGCAGCAGCAGTGTGGGACCCGCCTCTCTTCCCCGACCTCGGCCATTAAATTTGCCCGAGAGCTGATGGAGTACTGCCGGGACGAAGACGACTGCTTCAGCTCGACAGGTGGCGAACAGCTGTCAGCCCGTTCGATTTCCTGACGAGATCGAGCGTGCACTTGGTAGATGAGATATTATTGAAGAGAAGGAGCGTTGAGTAGATATGAAAGCTAATGGTAGCACTTAGGTTTTGGTGTGGAGATGTTGGGGACCTTTTGTTGTGTTTAAGGTAGTGTTTGGTTTTGGAGGGGAAGGGAGGGGAGGGGGGAGAAAATTTTACATTTCACTTGTTTGGTTCATTTTTTCAAGGGAGAAGGGAAGGAAAATTTTAAGTAAGAATCCCTCCAAATAGTGAATATGGCTCCCCTCCAAAATTGGGAGGATTTGGAGGGGAAGGAAAGTGCAAAGAGGTGAAATTATTTTTTAGTCCTTAATAATAAGATTATTTTATTGTTTTATCTCTTATATTATTAAGGGCAAAATAGTCAATTCAACATTATTTTCCCTTCTCTTTCATTTTTTAACCAAACAAGGTTTACCATTTTCCTTCACCTCCCCTCCTACAAAATCTCTTCAAACAAGATAAAATATTTTACATCTCCTCCCCTCCCCTTCCCTCCCTTCCATTAAAATCCCTCCCCTCCCTTTCCCTTCATTGAACCAAACATACCCTAAGAGCAAATTGTGCTTTTGCAGGGATAGAGTAGGGTGAATTTAAACCCGAACCCGTAATTCGGGCTGGGTTTAATCTCAGCCTTTTTTTTTTCTTCTGGATTTGGGGATTGGATAGATCTGGCCCGGACCCGTCTCATTTATATTGGATAATGTCTGTTTTAGTACATTGTTGATGTGTGTTATTGTTGCCTGTGCTTCATACCAAAAACTGAAGATACTTTGTGAAACAGACACAAACTCATGTGCGGGTCGATTGGGCATACTTTCAAAACAGAAATGTATAATTTCACATTATACCTTTATACTTTAAAAATATCATATTTTTTATCTTTGTTATTTTTTAAATTATGTTATTTGTGCTTGCATATGTATAATTGTGTAATGGTTACGTCTGTCTAAGATTCTTACAATTTGTGAAATATTGAAAATAGATATTTCGAAAATGATATATACCAAGAAGTCTCGGGTTTTGGCTAGTAATTAAGGAAATCTATTACTATATAATACGGAGAAGGAAAAATGTTTGAATAAATGTTTGAATAAATATTTCATTTCCCGCTTAAACATCATTTTTTCCCTCTCAAATTTTTCGAAAATTACCTGTTTTGGAAACTCTTTTTGAATTTTTTTCATTTATCCCGCCTAACTTAATTTGATTTTTGATGTGATTTATAGAAATCGGATTGTTTTATTTTAGGATAAGATTTGGTTGTTTTTTTGTTAAATTTGTTATAATTCCTTTTCTTTAGGATGAGATGAGATTTGTTACCATTTTTTTAAAATCCGATTTGGTACATTTTTAATTCACTCGCTTTTCCTTTTTTTTTACGTTTTATTTCACTCGATTTTCCTTTTTTTTTATGGGTTGAGATTTGGTAAATTTTGTATTTTTAATTTTTTTAATTTTAATTCACGTTTTTAATTTTAATTTCACGTTTTGAATTTTTTCCTTTTAATTTTTTTTAATCCGATTTTTTTTTTCAAACATTCGGTAAAGTTTTTTTTATTTTTTTTTCATAATCCCGCCTACATTTCAATTGTAATTTATTTGGACGTATATCATAATCCTTTTTTTTTAATCGATTTGGTAGGAATCGGATATTTCCTTTTTTTTTGGAAGGGAGTTGATATAAATCGGATAACATCAATTTAAATTAATTAATTATGAAATTTCATTTCCTTTTTTTTTTCAAATCCGATTTATATTATATAGATAGATTTCACTTCCTTTTTTTGTAAGCGATTACCTTTTTTTTGGGTAAGCAATTGTTTCAATGAAACGTGCACTAAGATCGGGTTGACCGAATTAAACAATTTTGAATAATATTAAATTAATCGATTACTATTAAATTAATTTTATTTGATTTTCATGTCTAAAATTTTCCAAAATACTATTTTTATTCTTGTGGAAAATGGCGGTTGGATGAAAAAGTCAAATTCAAATTAAAAAAAATTGTTATTTTGAAAAAGATATTTTGTAAACCCTAATTCATAAAAATATGGTCAATGACTTTAAATACAACGGGTAAATATGGTCAATGATATCATAAATTATATTTTATATTCGATAAGTTCAACTTAATTGATGATTTTGTTTGTTAATATTTGCTTAACTACAAAATATTTTAAAGTTTATAAAGAATCTCATTTTATGTAGGTTCTTGGTACTTTTTTATTTGTACATATTCATTTTTCATCCCATATCCAAATACAAATTTAAATGCGGATCTTACATGTTTATTAGAAATATATGTATATTTTTTCAAAAAGTATGACGATCATATAATTAATTTTATCATATATCATATATTGGATGTTATTAATTTAGTTGGGACACTCATTATATTCAAATAAATAATATATAATTTTTCATATTTAGTATTTCTTTTTTTATAATAATAAGATATTAAACATAAATAACTATGTATAATATAAAGTTTTAGAAAAGATTTTAAGTAAAAACCCCTCCGTGCAGCGCACAGGATACACACTAGTAACATACAATAGAGACATAACAAAATTCAATTGATCTACCGGAATTGCCTGTAGTCCGACATTTATATTCATGGGTCAAATAACCAATATCCCATGCACACCACAAACGACGTCGTATTCATATTTTTCTCCTCCTACGACCGTCAACGTGAACGACAAGAGCAAACCGAGTAGTCTGATCACATTCGGGTTCTCTATGAATCCAATCAATATTCGGTGAATTTTCTTCGAGTAATCACGCAAATTCAGTTCGACTTTGTGTTTGGCCGATCAATTTTGCCGGAAAAAAGACCCGAAAATGTCGTCATCGGAATCGGTTCTGACGCCGACCCAGAAGTACGCCGCCGGAGCTCTTTTCGCGCTGGCCCTGCACCAAGCTCAAATACACCAGACCAGCCCTTTGGGTTTCCCCTCCAGCCAGGACGGCGGAGACTGCGGCGGCGGCGACCCGTCGGAGGAACGCGTCAGTAGTAGCAGTAGCGGTAGTGACGCTGTCTCTGAAGATCCCCAGCTGTGGGTCCACCCATCATCCGGTCTTCTCAGGCCGGTCTTCAAGTATTGATCGATTCCCCCTTTTCTCTTAGTGTTTGTGGGTTTGATCGTTGAGTATGTTCGACTCTGAGATGAACATTTGGTATATAAATGTAGATTTCTGGGAATTGATAGCAAAGCCTGGGATGGGCTGGAGGAGACTGTGGCATATTCACCTGCTAAGAATCATGTTGGAGCTGTGAGTTTAGATTCTGAATTAAAGTTTTTTTCATTGTACAATTTTTTCACTTCACATTCATTGTTAGTTGGCAAAATTCAGCTGAGAAAAAGCTCTCTAAAGATTTTCTTCTTCAATTTATATAATGCAATTTGGCCGTTTTACAATTTTGAATGGAATTAGCTTGAACTTATTCTGTTAGAGATACCATTGTCACTATTACTTGGAGTCACCATTGCTAACCACTTTGATGAGTTATTATGATATTTTTCGGAAAGGCATGTGTTTTTTTAATCATGTTGAAATTTGTGATCACCAGAATATTGAACTTATGTTTTCGTAATATGTTTATACGCCAGAAATTTAGGATTTTTCAATTGAGAGGAATACTGTTTTCAATTAACATTTTCTCCGGATTATCTATACTTCTTTGCTGAGTTCTGCTCGATGTTAGAATTTATGGAACGTTACGTTTTATATAACTGTATAACCCATTGGGTGAATGCCAAATTTATAGGATTTTTAATACTCTTTCATCAGTTTCTGAGATTACTTGCTGAGGACAGTGGTGACACATCTGAAGCTTCTGATATGGAATTGGCTTTGTCAAAAAGTATAGAGGCCATGTCTCTGAGCATGGAAGAGACTTCTGTTGATTACGAATCCAAAAAGGAAAAACAACGTGAATACGAGCATGCTTGCCGGGAGAAGTTTTCAACCCACGATAAGATGCTGGACTCAAAATCCGAAGAGAATGATAGGCCCAATGACCATCAGCAGGAAATAAGTGCTGTCACATCTATAGTCGAGGAGTCCCATGTAGAATCCATCAGTGAATCTGAAGGAAAACCACTGGAAGAAGTAAAAATGCTTGGTCACTCAAGGAAATTAATAGTTTTGTATGAGCTTCTATCAGCTTGTTTAGCTGATCCTGATACCCCTGAAGACAGCAAGAAATCCACCAGGCGAAGAAAGGGCTATGATGCCAGGCATCGTGTGGCTTTGAGGCTGCTTGCTACCTGGTTCGATGTCAAGTGGACAAAGATGGTAAATTTTATGCTTGCTGACAAGTTGGAAATTCTAAGTTTTGTGGCATGCATGTGTTATCAGTTAGTGTTTGGATGTTTTGTGCTGTTGGGAGCCTTGTGGGGGGTTTTGTTGACTTTTATAAATAGGATTTTCCTAGTGGCGTGCAACTGTTAGAATTAGACAAGGGATGTTGGTGTATTTTAAATGTTAAGTGGAAATGTGTATTTTAGTTTCTTCTCTTCTTCTTGGAGTAAACATAAAAGGATTTTAATATAGAACACTGTCCCTGAGTTAGCACGTCTTCTTGATGTTTACCCTTCTTATTGTAAGTGTTAAATATCAAACGTGCATCGGCATTTAGGTTTCATCGCCATAGAGCTGTGCTTGTTTGGATGGACTTAAGAGTCTCTCGTTTCATTACTTATGTCGTTAGGTGATGCTCATACAATCCCAATACATATATATTCTTATTAGCTCCTAGCTTAACAACTAAAATTTGTTGACAAGTTCTATGCTTGAACTTTGGCATGACTATAACTTAGGATACCTATTTTCCTGGTTTCCTTTCCAAAACAACGTATCTTTTGTGTGTAACTATTGTAACCATGGTTACATGTTCTGAAATGCCTCTTCTTAAAGAGGAGCAATCAAAATGAATTTTTTTTTGCTTGAACGTTAGCAAATGACTTTAACTTAGGATACCTTTTTCCTGATTTCCTTGTCAACACAAATTATCTTTTGTAGGAAACTATTGAAAAGTTGGTTACTTGTTCTGCAATGGCTCTTCTTAAAGAGGCGCAATCGAAAGAAGCGGCCCAATCTTCTAAAAGTTCATGGGACAAGTGGAAACGAGGAGGTATCATAGGTGCTGCAGCATTAACAGGAGGAACTTTGATGGCTGTTACTGGAGGTTTGTCATCTTTTAGTGCTTATAAATATTTTCCATTTCAGTGTATGGCTGAAAGAAGCTTCTTGTCAACTTTTTAAGGGTAGTTCTCTTAGGATGTTGTTAACTCGATTATGGATTGAAATTGCAAAAATTATATTCAAACAGGTTTAGCTGCTCCAGCAATTGCTGCTGGATTTGGTGCTTTAGCCCCTACGTTAGGGACTATCATCCCTGTTATTGGCGCTGGTGGCTTTACGGCTTTTGCTACTGCTGCTGGAAGTGTTGCAGGTTCTGTTGCAGTTGCTGCTTCCTTTGGGGGTAGGTGTAAGACGCATTTTTTATTTTTAAATTTAAGAGGGGTAGACCTAAGAAAACTTGGAAGGAGACAATAAAAAATTATTTAAAATATTTAAATTTGAATGAGGCTATGTTGTTGTTGTTGTTGGGACTAAAAGGTTATGTTGTTGTTGTTGTTGTTATTTAAATTTGAATGAGGATATGTGCTTTGATCGAGCACGATGGCGGCATGTGATCCATATAGCTAGCCCCACTTAGTGGGATTTTAACGGCTTGTTGATTGAACACACACTCAAAACATTATATATATATATATATATATATATATATATATATGATTGGGGTATATCTTAGTGGTAGTTTCTGTAGTTCTTCGTTGTTTAGTGCATGAATCCAAGCTATTTAACTTGTGTTTATCCATCTTATGTCTTTCTGACTTTTGATCGAGCCAGCTGCTGGAGCTGGACTTACAGGGAGCAAAGTGGCTAGGAGAATAGGAGATGTTGATGAATTCGAGTTCAAGGCTATAGGGGATAAACATAACCAAGGGGTGAGTTCTCTGACTTTTTAGTTTTTTCACAAACTAAAAAAGTAAAAGACTGAGAAAATTGTCCGACATTTCTTACATTCTTTTGTCTTATTAATGTGACTTGGTCTACTTCTGTGTTTGTACCAAATGCATGGAACTCTGTTTAGCCTGTCCACTGTTATAATGCGTTCCTTCTCTTCATTGTTATTTCATGTCAGCGACTAGGGGTTGAGATCTCAATATCTGGATTTGTTTTTGAGGAGGAAGATTTTATAAAACCCTGGGAAGGACAACCTGATAACTCTGAAAGGTAGATCTCATTCTCCAATATTTGTTCATTTTCACCAAAATATCACCCCAGTAATGGTTGGGGAAGAGAAATCTCTCGTGAGAATATTTTATATTCTTTTTTTTTATTTTTTCATTATAATTTCAGAATTTATTAATATTTATTGTTCCTGTTTGGTTACAAATTTTATTATAGGATTGGGTCTTCATGGCATGCTGGTTGTGGATATGTTTGCAGTGTTCTCCTGCAGTTGTTGCATGACGTTATATTCCTCCTAACTCACGATAGCTTTATTATTTCATTAGGTATGTTCTTCAGTGGGAGTCCAGGAATCTAATTGCTGTAAGCACTGCTATTCAAGATTGGCTTACTTCAAGTAAAGATTTTTTTTTATTTTTTTTCTGTATAGCTGAACAGTGAACATGAAGCAATGGTTTCCATATTCTTGGAGATCGCTCAATGAATAGAACTTGATCACTTGTTGGTGCAGGTATTGCTATGGAGATGATGAAACAAGGTGCCATGATGACTGTGCTAAGCACTCTTTTGACAGCACTGGCTTGGCCGGCTACATTGCTTTATCTTACAGATTTTATTGATAGCAAATGGACAATTGCTGTGAACAGGTTTTCCTTCTTACTTTAAAGCCAGATGGGTGCTTGAACTGAGAATATAAAATATTTTTTGCTGTTTAATTTACAAAATTCAACCTGAGATTCGATATAGTTAAAAAAGAAATGAGTAAATAGCATCTATCTTTCATATGCCAAATTCCCTTCTCACAATTCTGCTATTTTACAAACACCTGTTGAAGTAGTCATTTTCTTAAGAAACTTCCCTAACGAGCGTACAAATTGTAAAGTAGAAATAAATATCGAGAAAGGTCCATGCAATTTTGAAAGATAGTTGTTTCTTATTAGACTATGTTTGTAACTAAAACCCATAGTTGTAATGCATAAATGACACATTTAAGTTAAAATATACAAGTTGAAGTGGAATAATTTTCTACTGTCACTTCCTAATGGTTCTCTGTAACTGAAGAGTGAATAAACGTGGTTATTTCCTAAGAATATATCTACTTCCACCATTTTGATCCTTGTTCAGAAGAATATATCAGTAAAGGTCCTGCTATATTTGTAGGTCTGATAAGGCAGGAAAATTGCTCGCCGAAGTATTATTGAAGGGGCTGCAAGGGCAAAGGTAACCAACTAACTTAAAATAATAAATGTATAAATAAATAAATAAAGTGTTATTTAGTTCCACCTGGATGTTCTTTGTTTTGTGGATTAATTGTGCATGTTCACTCCACCTATTTTCCAGGCCTGTGACACTTGTAGGTTTCTCACTTGGAGCAAGAGTGATTTTCAGGTGCCTCCAGGTTTTGGCTGAAAGTGAAAACGGTGGTAAGAAACACAGTCCCAGTTAGAACTGCTGGCAATAGTGGCATCTCTTTTTTGAACTATGTTTACTTTTTATTTTAATATTAATTCGTTGAACTTGATAGAAGATACATCTTTGCTGGATTCTGATGCATACTCAGAGATCAATTACTTTTTTCCATTTTTATGGCCTTGGCATTGCCATACTTGCCATATAGTCAATTTATGCAATCTTAAATTGGAGACTCTAAATTATAATTTAATACACAAAATTTAAAATATTGATGCCTTTTGGTTTATCTTTATGTACATTTTGGATGATATGATATTATTCCTCTTTTCTTTCTTGGCCTTTTCAATTTTATTTATCTATTTTCACCAGCTGGACTTGTGGAAAGAGTTGTTCTTCTTGGAGCTCCCATAGCAATTCGAGATATGAATTGGGAAGCGACAAGAAAGGTAGCTATGGAATATCTCGTTAATGATTATTGCTATTAATGCCTCAGTATAGTGTGGGTTAAACATCGTCTGTATACAGGTGGTTGCTGGGAGATATGTGAATGCATATTCAACAAACGATTGGATGCTTGGAATTGCATTTCGTGCTAAGTATGCAACTCTTACAATTAGAACTCAGAATTTTCGGGATTTCATAACACATTTGGGCTTGGGATTTTTCTTTCAGTTTCGCTGATGCTAATATGCTGAAAATGATACTATGATTCTCATGTTGCGTATCTCTTGTGCTTATTCCTGTTAAATTTCTAACTAATGCTGCTGCACCATTTGTTTTTGACAGACTTCTCACCCAAGGATTGGCAGGAATTCAACCTGTTGATGTCCCGGGCATTGAAAATGTAAGTTATTTCAAGCTTCTGCCTGTAATTCTTTTGTTTTTATATTTTTATAATATATTTATTTTCTTTCCAATGATATCATTATTGGGTTCAACNGTAAAAATCTAACAATAATTACTCTCCTTTAAAATTAAAGAACACTTTGGTTTTTGTTTGTATGTATTTAAGCGCGTATTTGTAACTTTTATGAAGTCTAACTTGAAGTTGAAGGGTAGTTCATTTAACTGTCCCAAAATATAATATTAAAAAATGGCACCTTTTGCTGAATGCTGAACCTTGTCATCTATGTATATACCTATGTGGAATTGTTGATGTCCCTTCTTCTCCATTCGATGAAAGGTTGATGTGACCGAGGTTATCGAGGGTCACTCGTCTTATCTATGGAGAACTCAGCAGATCCTAGAACAGCTTGAACTGGACGCTTATTATCCCGTTTTCAACCGAAGGATCGTAAAATCATAGTATATTGATCGGTTTTCTCCTTTTCCCGAGATCAAAGAGACTTGAAGCTCGAAGTTGAAGCTCTACAGTGCAGTTTTTACCAGGAAAGAAAAAAAAAAAAAAAGGTTCTGCAATTTCAACTTCAGCATTGTCTATTTCAAGAACATCTGTGAACTAGATGTGTGTGTTTGTAAACATTGTATGAAGACTATTTATACTGTATGTTGTGTAGAGCTGTATATTATAATATTATGCGGAAGCTATTACACGAGAAGTGGATCAGAATAATGTATGATTAGTGCTTGTGCACTTTGGTTCTCTCTCGCTGTTTGAGTTTTTTGATTGGTTGTTGATTGTATAGTTTTGGGACTAAATTCATGAATATCAGTGGATACGGCCATACGGGAAGGGGTTGAGTTTTAATGATGACGACAATTGCTCTTATTGTACATTGTAAGATTATATGCTCAGGTGGAGAAGGTTTGTACTTTGTAGTAAAATTGCATTTAAATAATTGGGCATTTGGTACAACGTTTGTATCATTCCTTATATATAATTACAGAAAACGTTGAGCTAGTAGTAGCTTTGCATCCTTCATAATATCTTATGTGGTTTGATATTATGCTTTGTAATCTAGTTCGGATAAAAATTAATAATTTTTCTATACCAAATAGTTTAAGTTTTGGATTGTCATAAAATACACCTATTTAATATATATTTATTATCTTATTTCTATAATGTGTATATTATCTCACTTTTAAATTTTGTGTTTTGTCCATATTATTCTTTACGTGTTTTAAATAAAATATTTATAAATAAAACGAATGATGTATATAGATTAGTTTCTAGAATTAAAAAAGTATTATTAATTCACTTAATTTTTTATTATTAATTGTTATATTTTGTGTCTTAGTTATTTTTTTAACTTTAACAAAATATATAAATATTTTTTTTCTTTCATTTGTTGTTGTATATTTAATTATTTTATCAAACACATGTCAGTACACTTATCTTCCATTAAGATTAATTATTTTCATATATAATATAATAACAATAAAATATAGGGACCCAAAATTTTGATTTTAAAAAATAAAAGTGAATTGACCTTTGGTTCCTTCTTCAGAAAACACATCAAATGAAATGAACCACCTATACTGCTAGCGATGGCGGACGAGAGAACGAAAGGCGAAGGCGGCAAGTTAATGTCACGCGCGGTAATGGCTGAATCGCCAAACAGGAAATCAACCTCGACTGATACCAATTCGAAATCGGTCGGTTCAGATCAGCTGAACCGAACCGATGGCGGAGCATGCCCTGCGTCGCCGAAGAAGAATTCCAGTTCTGCAGAAGCTGCTGGTAATGGTATTGGGAGAAAGGCGAAATCTTGCAAAGGATGCCTTTATTATTCTTCGCGTTTTAAGGCTGATTCTCGGAACCCTCTGTGCGTTGGCCTCACCCGTTCCCTTCCCAATGGTAGCCCTGATTTCCTCTTTCAGTTCTTGTTTTCTTGTNTTTGTATTTTCTGTGATTTGCTCTTCTTACCTTTTTTTTTTCTTTCTTTATCATTTGTATGTTGTCTTGGATTGGATGTTGTGTATCCATGTAGCTTAAAAGATTGGAACTTTGGGCTTTTGATGGAATATTTGCTTCATTTTTTTGAACAAAACTAAGAAGTTGGGAGGTACCGTTTTCATGAATCTGATAAAGGTACCTAACCTAATTATTGCTTTCTTATTTGGCTTTGGTCACTGATTTTTATTTTTATTTTTATTTTTATTTTTTTTCCATAAGACTATCTTAAAGCTCTGGTTTTGAAATCACAGATTGCATAAAAAAGATAAATAGCTCATAGAATGGCTCTAACACCCCCCTATTATCTACACATTGTGGTTGCAATAGACATTCTTGTTATGCACATCGCGATACTTTTTTATTGATGTTGTGTTAGCATATCCCACTAAGATAATATTAGAGTTGGATTATAATTCTTTTGTTTGGTGATTAGTGCCTCCATACATTGTTGGACAAACTGAGGTTGAAGCATCTAAAGAGGGTAGAAACCTTACAGAGTTTAGATACGGTTGCGTTGGTTATTCACTTTATGAGGATTGTAAAAGCCAATCCCCCAATGGGCAACAACATCAAGCAGAATTACCTGTCTGCTTAGGCCTTGAGGTTAGTGCTTCAAAATGTTCTTTATTATGCATGGATGGGTTTAATTATGTTGCAGCATTTGCACATTATGATTTACACATATTTGGCCTTTTATTTTCTTATTCAATATTTTTGGTGGTGATAATTGATATGGAAGATAGTGACGCTGTTTAGCAATTAGTTGACTTGACTAACTGATTGTTCATAAAATAACTTGTAGCTTCTTGGTTGTGTAAAATGATCATTGATGCATTTCTTTTGCCGGGTATCATTTTTATATGATATATGTTTGCATGGCCATTTTATTGGATAATTAAGACAAGTTGAAGAAGGAAAAGTAACACCATTTAAGAATTAGATATGCAATTTTCTTGTGTCGCTATTTTGCAGGTCTATCAAATGCAAATTGATAAAGGTTATTGATTGTTAACTTATATGTTAGTTGTAAATAATTTACATTTTTTTTTTGCATGTGTAAACGAATTGTAATAATAATTTTCAGGCAGAATTTAACTTTAATGACATTAAAAACTAGCCTTCCATTTTCTCCAAATTTCTGCAGCGTTCTATCAGAAGCTCCTGTATCCAACTTTTCAAAAATTAGCGTTTTTTATCCATGAAGTGAATTCTAACACATTTACCAACAAATCAACTAGGGATTATGAGTTGGCAGGTCAATCCTTATGTAAGATTCATCTCTCATTCAATCCTCTAATGGCTGAACACAGCCAATCATTACCACACCTTATTTACTGTTTTCTTGCTCTGGTTTCTGTGTGAATTTCAATACTTACATTATACTAATGCCAACATATTTGTCTTCTGAGCAGGTTTTGGTGGATAGGAGAGTTGCTAACCCTTCTGCTGAAACTGCACGTATTCCTACCCATGCTCACAATAAAGGTGGTAAAATGTTATCCACTGTGTTAGCTACTTTAGAGTCCTTCACAAACTGCATGAAGGACTTAATTGCTAAAATATGAACCAGAGGCTTTGCGACTACATATTAATTCTTTTATTTAAACATTGAATATCGTAGGTCAGCTATGAGTTTGAGGTTGTTGTTAAGTTTTCTCAGGAAAAAAAGTGAAATTCTTTAAATTAAAAAAACAGATGATTATTTTATTTACGTAAATAAGATTCCACAGAAAAGTTGAAGTTTTTTAAATCATCTTTGAGTTTCCTGATGTTATAGCTATATGCATATATTTGAAACAAGTTTGACTGAATCAAGTATTCTATTTTCTCTCTTTCATTCTTCTTCTTTTATTTATATTTCTTTTTTTTAGCAGATTTTAAAATCTAAGCAACCATTTTTTTATTTGAGTTTTCTCCTTCGTGGAACCTTGCTTGTTAACACGATTTCACAAAACCCTTACCACTTATTTTTCGACTTTTTGGAAATATCTTAGCACGAGTAATTTTTGCATGATTTCACAGTGCCAATAACACATCCTATGTAATCTTATTTATCATATTTATGCTTAAGAGCATGTTTGTTTATAAGAAAATTTTCAAAAAATTTCCAACATTTTAACTCAACCACTTTTTTTAACTCAACTTTAACTTAACCCCACTGTCATCAATATTATCAATATAATTAAATAATATCAATCAACCATTCATACACACCACATCAACCTTAATTCACTATTCATCTACTCACATTATTTTAACTAACCATCACTTCAAATCATCCCTCTCCTACTTTTACATCAAATCAATTTTAATTATTTTATTTTAAATATTATTTTAATATACCCACTAACAACTAATCATACCACCTTTTTCAAAATTAACCAAACCAAATCAAAAAATCCAAACAAAACCAAAAATTTCTATAAACAAACATGCTCTAAGATTTTCAGATGCTTCTTGCAGTTTAGTGGTTAACTTGATACGTAGCAATTTTAAAAGCTATATTTTTTTGCTTCTTACAGATGGCAATGAATTGCCACATAGGCGAACACCTAAACCTACTAATGCAACTGGGGAAGAGTTCTTCAGCAGGCAAGCTCTTTTACATCCCATTCTGCATCTATATTCATTTTATGGCTAATTAGTATCAATGTAGTTGGTGGCGTCTCATTACCTATTTGCAGGTTTAGTTTGGAATTATGCATCAAAAGTTAATTGGAAGATTGTATTCGTTTGGGATTTCAATTGACATTTTGAGACGTTTTGAGAGTTGTGACTTTTTAAGATTTTCAAATTTAATCTTAAGTTTGGAGATGGGATTTAGAGTGAGATTTCGTATCCCAACAAATCTTAAAAAGTCTTAACAAATCCTAGTATCAAATAAGTTAAATACCTTAGGATATTTTGTAGATTTTGTAGGACATTTTAAAATCTCAAATGAATACCTTCAGAGACTTTTGAAAGTCTAAATTGACACCAGAATTTCTGAAGTCTTAAAGTCTTTAGAAATCCCAAACGGTTTACCAATAAAAGGGTAAGGTATCGGCTCTGGATTCATATTGAGGAGTAGATCGAATACACCCCTTTTAATGTATTATGCGCTAAAATCTTAGATAGGAAGTTCCTCATGATGCAAAATATACGTTGATGCGTTCTTGAGAGCTGTTGGTTGTTGGGGATCCTAATTCTTGTATATTTCTAGCATTTGATTCTTGTGGTAATTACAATGATTGCCCTTGATGATTTGCCTAATTACTTAGAAAAGTAAAAAGAAAGAAAAGAAAATTGTTTTCCTGAACTACAAATACCCATTAGCTAGTTGAACATAGACACAAANGAATAGAAGCTTAAGCCTCTGACTTGGGCTAAACAAGTAAAACTAGCTGATAAGTTAACTTATAGCTTATAAGTGATTTTCGAGATTGTAGTTTATAGTTTATGACTTATAGCTAAAAATCTAACTTATATGATACTGTTTGTTTCTTAAAATTAGCTGATAAGCTAACTCAAATAAAAAATTCAACGAACTTATGTGAAAAGCTACCCAAATAAACAAAGTTTATGAGATAAGCTCGTATTTTTTTTATAAAATCTCGTCCTACCAAACGAAACTTATTTAGATGCAGGAAACTTATAAGCTAACCAAATAAGCTATAAGCTAGTTTAATTGGTCACCAGACATAACCTTGGTAGTGCTTACTGCTTAATTTTACGTTCAATTGGGAACTTTTACCAACATAATCCTCTTCGGTTATAAAATGCAGGTTCACTCGAAATGCAAACCTGGTGGCAAATGGGGTGGCTAAGAACATCCGTAAAGTAGGAAATCAAATAAAACAAGGCTTTGATGACATAATGTATCGACGACCTAAGTAAGAGGCTGACACTTGCCCTATATCTGAATCAATAATAAAGCTTTGTGTCTCCATGTATTATTACTCCATTCCTCTTTTCTTGCTAAAACTTGTGAATTATGAGGTCTTAAGAGGCTTTTTTTTTTTTTTTAGTATTTANTTTTTTTTTAGTATTTATTTCTGTACTGATCTTTCAGTTTGGAAAACAGGCATGTATTCTGTTATAGGGTCCATTATCTTTGCCTGGATATGGTGCTTCAAGTTCATATTTAATTATTTGTGTACAGATACAAGTTTTTGCCAAATCCCTAATTCTAAATTATGGCATTATTATGAAGCTATGAACATGTGATATAACACAAGGTTTTTGCTCAAATTTCAACACTACACCTCTTAGGTCTTGTTTGGTTTAATGAAGGTGATATGAGGGAAGGATTTTAAGGCAAGAGAAAAATGGTGGGGGAATGTAATAGTTCAATTATTTGCTTTGATTGGGAAAGTCTGGTGAAGTTTGGTAAGACAGAGTTTGGAAGAGAAGGAAAATTCTATGCTTGTTGTTTGGTAAAAAGTTGGAGAGGATGGAAAGTAAAATAACTAGTTATTATACATTTAATGATAAATATAAATGCCCAACTTCAGTGGAACAACTTTTTCGGGCAAGATAATAACATTATCCGAAAATGGAGGTAGACAAACACAATTATTGAAAACACACTTGCGTACAACAACACGACTTCATCAAGCTCATTTCATCTTGGCCTCGGTGAACAGAACATGGCGGTTCACACGAGGGTCGTACTTTCGGAACTCAAGCTTGATATTATTGCTGTCTCTTTGTCTTTTTCACCACGTAGAAAAACCCAGTCCCGGCAGCTGAGACGAGCCTCACCAGCATAGCACCAGCCTTCTTCTTCTCACCCATTTCGACTGTTTATGCAAAAAAAGACAAAACATTGAAAACAAGCAGCAGGTGATGATAAAAAAATAAAAATAAGAAGAAAAGGAAAAGAATGCATTTTTCTCCGTCACAAACATCGGGATAAATAGAAAAGTAAGCGCTTTCAACCAGTCAATATCTGAAATCCACTACTAAAGCAAACACACTCATTGAAAACAAGGTAAAAACAATAGCAATGCTACCAACAAGGGTTAAGCATCCAAGAACTAGAAAACACTAGGGAAGGAGCCTGCAAACTAGAGCGTCTTCGGATTCAAGACTGTTTTAAGGAATGAAAAAAAATCTACACTAGAAACATAATTTGCAAATACAACAACAACAAAGCCTTTAGTCCCAAACAAGTCGGGGTAGGCTAGAGATGAAACCCAAGAGAACCATCGGTAAGAGAAACACAAAAAAGGCTTGAAAAAAAAAAAGATTTGAGCAAAAGAGAAAGGAGCAAAAGTCACGGTTCTAGCACGTTGATTGCTAGCCTCCAAGTGCTCATATCCACCACTAAATGCTTGGAGATATTCTAATCTTTAAGGTCTCTCTTAACCGACTCTTCCCAAGTGAGTTTAGGCCGACCTCTACCTCTCTTTACGTCTTCGAACCGCTGTAGAACTCCCTTACGCACCGGTGCATCAGGAGGCCTCCGTTGTACATGTCCGAACCACCTCAGCCGATGTTGCACCAATTTCTCCTCAATTGGAGCCACCCCGACCCTATCTCGAATATCTTCATTCCGGAGTCTATCCCTTCTTGTGTGCCCGCAGAACCAACGCAACATACGCATCTCTGCTACACTTAGTTGTTGGATATGTTGCCTTTTTGTAGGCCAACATTCAGCACCGTATAGCATCGCCGGGATAATCGCCGTCCTATAAAACTTACCTTTTAGCCTCTGTGGTACCCTCTTATCACAGAGAACGCCCGAAGCTTGCCGCCATTTCAACCAACCGGCTGCAATTCTATGCCTAACATCAGCATCAATGTCGCCATCCTTTTGTAGCATCGATCCTAAGTACCGAAAAGTCTCCTTCTTGGCCACCACTTGCCCGTCAAGGCTAATCAATCAGATTGGATTTATTTCTACTTGTAAAAACAATTTATTGGAATTATATTATTAAGGCATTGTTTTACCTTATGTTTTTGCATTTATCCTATATTTGTACATATGATAAAGTCCTTAGATCATTAATGGCTATAAGGCATGGTTGCGCATTTGATGGTAATCATGGAACATATTTTTAAAGCTGTGATCTTAAATACAGTTCCAAGTCGTTGGATATTTCGAGATGGGATATCGAATAATCCGGAAAGACTTGTACATATGATGTATACTTGTTTGACAAGAATGTTGCATTCCATCAACATTAGCGTGGATCGCAAATACATATATGTGGGTGCTTGTTAGAGAACAAGTTCACTGAACATGACCATATGAAAATTCTGAATGAAAGTTTATTATGTCGAATAAGAATTTTCATGTTACAATAGTACATGATTGATCCTTAGACTTGAGGCACGATAGTAACTTTGTGCATATTATATTTTACTTTAATTTATCCTTTTGATTGCTAGCACAGTCGTATAAAGGGATATTTTGGGTATTATATTAATATGAATGAAAGTTTGTCAGTGGCCAACAAAGGATTCGACATTTATGAGATAAGTGAATTTTCTATGTGTTTCATAATTTGTAATTCAAAGTCCTTGGCCAAGGAGGGATGAATAGAGATTCATATATGAATTATTAAACTTGAAATGGAATCATAGTTATTAAATCAATTTGGGTTTCGACTAAATCATACCCAAGATTTAATCGAGAAATTGGATGTCGAAAGGATTTTACATGTATGGACTTGTAATCGAAAAAGTTTACTCGCTATTCACTTAATACTAGATTCATGCTACTTGCTAGATGTTTCCATGATATGTGGGTTCTTGAATTAAGGAGTTAATTCAAAGAATAAGAATTAATTTGGTTAATTCAAATTACAAGGAGTTGTAAATCCACTACTAGTATTAATAGTGAACCTAAAAGGTCACACCCAAGTTTGAATGTAGATCATTTGTAATCATATTTCTAAAGAGTTAGAATTAATTGACAAGTATTAATTAAATAATTTAATTATTTAATTAATTCTAATTTTGATTAAATATCAATTAAAGAAATATACTAAATTAATCAATTTGATTAATTAATTATATTTTGGATATTAATTAAGTAATTAATGAAATTACTAAATTAATAGTTGGATTTTAAAATTAGATTTTAAAATTCAAATCCATATTATAATATGATTATAATAAGAGGAGATTTTATAAATATGTGAAATAATATATTTGATTAATTTTTATCAAAGATTAAAATAATAAATAAAATATTATTAGATGGAATCTAATGACATTTTTTTATTAAATCCATTTTATATCTAGATGCCATCTAATTTGAATAAAATAATGATTTTAAAAATACAATATGACATCTTGTGATCTAAATGTTTTAGTATAAATAGGTGTACATATGTGATGTACAAAGGACACACTTGTATTAACAAGAAAATTGAGAGAGAAAAATCACAAGAGTTGTAAATCAAGAAGTGTTCTTGAACTTAGAGAATTATTTCCATATCAAGAATAGTTCTTGAAAATTTTAATAAGGATTAAAATTATAATCTCCTCTAAAATAAATATTTCGATACTAATTGAACAAATCGAGAAGTTTCTACTAGCGAAGAAACTAGTTCTCGAGATTGAATTATAAAAGGGTGGATACTTTTAGAGGGGAGACACTTGGATCCCTCGGGTGAGTAACAAGAGACGGTGAAAGTCACATACAACCGGGAATTGATTTCCTCAATCATCGTCGTATAAAGAAGGAATTCAAGATAAAAGGTAATTTTTGAAATTACTTATTACAAATAAAAAAATTCGTATTTTTACGTGATTTTAAAAGATGTCGGTCATTTTATTCGCTATATTTACTTACGGATTAAATATTTATTTGATAAATGATAATTATATTGTATAATTTCTGCTGCGATTTTAATCCGTACAGTATAGCGAACCCAACACATCACCTCTATTCTTTTTTCGTTCGGCCTTTGTCAATGTAATTGCAGGCCTAAATGTGGTGTGACTTATTATTTTGTTCATTATTGTGAATTTATGTCGAGGTTTCCAGTAATTTTACTGTAATAATAGGCTATAACATTTTTAATTAGTTTTTTAATGGGTTTATGCTTATGCATTTGTACGTCATATACATTTTTACAATTTTTTTTTTTTAACACATGGATTTATTTCTTTGTTTCATTTATTTCGTAATTTTTTTTTTCGTACCTGTTAATTTTTCCTCCTGTATTTCTCCTCTTTGTTTGTATATTAACTCGTGAAAGTACTGATATATATCTCGTGGGGTTTGTAGATATTCACTCATTAACATTGTCCCTCTTACCGATGGCAATATATGTTTTCCTAGAAAAGCATATATTTCAATCTTTTTATAACAGCAATCTTGTTAGCAAACTATAATACAGATGACTCCCCCTCTCTCTCTTTTATCTCTTTATCTCTGTTTCTATATAAATTCACTTACATTTTTTGATGAGGGCATTAAATTTATTATGAGATTTCAAAAATAACAACTATTAGTTTCCCTTATTATTAAACCCAAAAATGCAAACCAAGTATGTGTAATTGAAAAAAAAAAAATTAAAAGCAAATCACGATATTTTTTTCTCTTCTCCAATTTCACAACTACAATTATTTTTTACAAATGGATAGGACTGGATTTGGGGGCCTTAACTCGATTAATTAATATTAAAATATTAAGGTGAATATCTATTAAATTTGTTTAATGTTGTAACCAGAAATTCCAAGTTATTTATTGGTAAATAAATTTATTTATTTATTTTCATGTTTTGACATTTTCTTCAGTCCTTTGAACTTATTCTCAGTTTGTTGCATGTTTCACCATTTTCAGGGGTTGTACACCTCATATCATGTCCACAAGGGGTGATTTAGTAAGAAACCGTAGTGTTAAATGTTATTGAATTTTGAGTAATAAAACAAATAGATATTGAAATAGTATAACAGCAGCCCGTCTAGCTCAGTCGGTAGAGCGCAAGGCTCTTAACCTTGTGGTCGTGGGTTCGAGCCCCACGGTGGGCGTTCATGTATTAGAATTTTTTACTTCCGTTGTAAAAATTTACT